ACATGGTTCTAAGAGTAGAGGGAACTCGGGCTGCATCAACAGGATATGATAAAAAGTCCTATTATACACGTGCACGGGCAAGATTCATAGATGAGCAATTTTTCATGAGCTTTTTTCACTTTTGATCTTTGCTGCCAATAACAATAAAACTGAATCTGCTGCATGTGTCTCGCTGAAGCTGTTAAAGGTAACAGTGACCTCTCCTTTAAATATTACCTGCAAATAATTCTATTCAAAGGAAAGAAATAAAACTACAAAGAAGCTAAACGTCTAACCGATAACAGGACTTGCTGTTCGGTTTGATCAAAGGCAGAAAATCGATCTGCTGTTCTGGCAAAAAAACTTTAAGACCAACAGACCTCAAAATACCCCAAATCCAGAGTGGACGGCTCCCTCCGCCCCAGCACGGTTAATAAGATGAAGCTGAAGTTCAGCTCGCACACAAGAATGCAGCTACAGCTGCAACTCAAGCCTGTCAAGTCGGCGCAACGAACACGAAATTAAAAAGGCAAATGCAAGTGAACCGCATTGCCTAGCAACTGTGACGAAGAGGATAGAGTCATCATCAGAGAAGTGGATGAGCTCAGTGGTTACAGAATTTGACAGGCATTTTCAGGGAGTGCAGGAAATAGAGGACTTTGTCAAATTTAGCACAAACTTCTGCAAATGTCAAGCTTCAGGAAGCACATCTGCACCGGCACGGCGGGGACGATCGGCAGGAAACGGACAAATTTAGACGTTACACGAACGAGAAGGAAGAAACAGAAACGACGACAAAGATACAAATTTGTGCAGATAAACGAATCAGTGTGTTTGTTTGAGGGGAAAAGGTCAGCAGCGGGGGATTTTTCTTCATTTTACCTCATAGTCATGAATAACATTTATGAGAATATGGAAATAAATTAATACTGTTTAGAACCACAGAATGGACAAAGCACGAGATTATGGTGATAAACGAGCATCAAACCAGCAGAGGCTGTGCCCTTTTCTAATATAAATATAAAAAATATCAGAATACAGGAAGGACTGCAGACTGTAATCCACCCCCTTATCAGGCCTGTCCACACCCACTCTTTCTCACATCGCTGCTGTTTCAGCGCAGCTGCACTGGCTACATGTTAAATTTACAGGTGGTTTAAAAATGTTACAGCACGTTTCCAAAGCGTGGATTAAATCCAGGATACATCACAGGTCACAGAGGCCATCCTGCCCACATCTCCTGTCTCCCGTTTGCCTCTAAATGAAGGATCGGACCTTTATATGAATTATATTTACGTCAAAAGTGATTGGTCACTTTTAAAGCAGTGATGCTTTACAATAAGCTGCTTTATTGGGAGCGCAGAGGAGTCACAGCTTGTCTTATAATCCAACAGTTTTTTGCATTGTTATCATTAAAGCAGTGACAGCTGTCAGTATTTCCACTGTTACACAGCAAACACACTCAGAGTACACCCCGAAGGACAGGGGTGAAACTAAAACTTCATGTTTGATGTTATGGTGTGATTGTGCCATCATAGGGCGTTGTATTGGAAAAATAAAAAGTCTGTTGTACAGCTCTCCTCACGCCCTTTCATATGACATATTACTCCTTATGGTTTTTTTCAAGGTCAGCTTTGACCCTGGACGCTAACAATGAAGGTGCTAACCTAGCCAACAAGTACTCATGTCCCTCTAAGCCAAATGTGTTGTTGTGAAGATTGAAGATGATCCATAAAAACCTTGTGGGTAACATGAAGTCGTTACTGATTTTGGTCTGACCTTGACACAAAAATGAAATCTGCAGAATTTACGTGCGCGTGTTAAAGAATTGCTGCACCTGTGAATTGAAACTATTCGCTGATGGACTCCATCAACAGGCATCTCCGAAAACGTCAGAGCACTTATGCAAATATGTGATGTCTTGATGAATCGAGCAGACATTTGAAGTTCACACAGAAACATTCTCGCATGAAATCTGAAAAGTTTATTTTGTGACCCAGACAGAGTAATATTTCAAACTCCGCCACTCTGTGTTCCTCCGCCACTGCCTCCTTTGAGTTTTGGATGAAATGGATTCTGGGATATTGCATTTCGTCATTTCGAGCTGATTGGAGACCAGAACAGCCAATCAGATATTTTTGCATCCAAGTCTGTGATTGGCTGGTTTTGTGGCACAAATATAAAGGTGTACACAAAGAGTTGAGCGCGCACGGGCATGTTAAGAGCGCGAGCAAAACATTGCGAGCAAGCGCAAATGCAAAAGCTGAGCGAGAGGGGCTGCTGTTGTGTGTGTGTGTGTGGATAATAGCAAACACTGAAATACATTTTTTGCACGCAGCAATGAAGTTTGTTCACTCAAATTCAGCTTTTCTTCGCTCAAAATAAATTTCTCCTCAAAATGCAACACTTGCACCTGCAATTTTTTTTTAACGTGCGCTCAAATTTTTTTTACGTGCGCTCAGAATAGTGGCACAAAAATAACGCCATACGGCGATGAGGTTACACCGGTAGGAAAACAAACCAGCTCAGTGAGTAGGCAGATTTAAATTTGAAGCCTGAGGTCGTTTCGTTCTGCCTCACATAGCAAAACAACATTAGTAATTAAACGACTGACTGTAAATGAGCACGCATATGTAAACCCAAAGCACGGCAAAACTATCTGATGGTTGCTCATTATAATTTAATCTAATAATAAAGTCGGTGTCACACCACCCACCATAACAATTGGCTTGTGTACAGTACTCTGTGTGAATAACTGTGTGTAAATGTGTGTGTGGGACAACACAACAGCGCCCTGTTGATTTAGTTCCCCGTCTCCTTAGGGAGAAAGTCTGTTGTTGTCTTCCAAAACACACACACACACACACACACAATGCGCTCACTTGTGGTGTGGCTTTTGTTGCTTGATAATTGTTTTTAGCAAAACATAATTTTGCTAGCGGAGACAGCTAACCCATAACCATGAATCAGTGAAATGGTAATGGAGCCATAGGGGGAAAAAGGAGAAGAGGAAACACGTCGAGCCCACTGTGGCAAAAATGCAAGATGGGCACTCTCTCTCTCTCTCTGCCTTTATCAGTGTTTTTGGTCTCGGCCGCTCCACACTTTACTTTTCATTTTGTTTACTTCTCAAAGCCACTCAGCCAATCCTATAAAAACACACATCAGACGAAGAAAAACAAACCAAGAGAAGTGGAGCTGAATTAGCCACCAGCTCGCCTCCATAAGCATTATTCTCTCCCCAATCATGCGACAGAGAGCCAGTCAGGTAAAAAAAATCGCTTATGCTTTAATTAATAAATGCATCATCCGTAATGAGAGAGGCTCGTTAGGTGCCGTGGCAACCGCTACTGGTCTTCCTTCCAACTTTCACACTTCAAACTTCATTTGCACCTCTGAAGCATGCTAATTGCTCTCACGCTCTGCGATATAAACAGCGACAAAGTTTTCTTATTTGGAGGCAGGGAAGAGTGTAATGCGAGGCTATCGATCGGAGGGGAAAGACGATTGCCCCCGGCGGGTCACAAACCAAATTACTTTTAGATGTGAATTAAAGC